TTCTTATAGTCAAAAGTGGTGTAAAGAAACTAAAAATGGCATTGATTAATGTTATAGTTATAGTTGCACTCCACCTGTTTGCTTTATGGCTAAAAATTTACAAAATTGTCCTTAAAAATCCTTCATATGTTTTTTAATGTCAAATTACCATCTTGCCATTGGTAAAATGAACATGTCATTGCCAGCTACCAATTCAATAAGGTATCTCAAGAGCTGGTCTGTATATACTCCATAAATTTGAATTTTTCTAAATCCTGATTGTTTTTCTAATTAAACTGAAATTGTTTTATTAACACTTTTTTTAGTTAGCTTACTTACTTATTTTGCATTTTTTCTGTTTTATTATTGTTTTTTCCTATTCTTTTTGTAAATACCAAAACTTTTTATTGTACTGCAATTAATAATGAAACTGTGTTTTATTAAAATAATTTTTGAAAAAATAAAATAGATCTAGGTGAATATCCAATAGACGAAACAAAGGAAATTAAAGTTATGAATGTGTTAATTTTCAAGCACAAGCTCAACGAACAAAAACACTGATTTGATTCAGTCTTGCAAATCATATTAACAGCTCAATGAAATATCAATGATGAAGATGATATTTTTTTTGCATTATTTCTTTTGCTAGTAAGAAGTCTTGCCATTATGATTCCGACATTTGGTTGGGTGATATGTTAATTATGATTTTTTTATTTGATTATTACATATTTTTATTTTTAATATCACAAAGTCTATAGATTCCTTCATACTTCGTATAAAAATCCATGATTTTTTATGTATCAACAAAAGTCATTCCCAAAAAGTTAATGTCTTTCTAAATATGAACAGAAATTCAAATACAATCCTTTTTCGAACAACTTGCAAAATTCTATCTCTTTTAAAATAATTTTATTTACAGATTGGTATAAAAAAAGTTTACATATTTTCAAAGTACATCTAAAGTTTTCCAAAACAAGTGATGACATGCCTATTTTATCTCATCAAATGATCAATGATCACACATATGCAAACAGAAGTTATGAGAACCCTCAAATAATAAGAAAGAGAGCTAATTTGGGATTGAGGGAGTATAGTTGTCAAACAAAATAGATTCTTTATTATTATTACTAATTTTTTAAATGAAAATTTAATGAAATGCTATTAGTAAAATTTTTTCATTTCACCCGCGGTGCACTAACGGATGGACATGAATGATGTATCTAACCGGTGATAGATGAATCCGATGACGGATGAAGAGCGAATGGATGGATGGGGGCGACATTCCTAATTATTAAACACTCCCTTTGTCCATAATTTAGATTTTCATTTTTCTGTTTGAAACAACCAAAATAAAGTTCTCATCTTTTTAAGGAAAGAAATGTGTTTCATTATATATGAATGTGCATGAATTCACTTACATATGTGTTTGAGCTTTTATTTATTTATTTTTAGAAGTTTTTAAAAAATTTATCTGTTTTTTTATTTTATTTTATTTTTTTTGAATTTTTCTTAGTTTTTTAAAAACAATTTCCCATATCATCCATTGGGATTGTTTAGATTGAGATTTGGGGGGTTTTCCCACCCTAGATCTAGATCCTCATGCATGCTGAAATTGGTCTGCAATAATCACCTCAATTACAAGCACAAGCTTCAAACTAAATGGTCAAACAACTTTTTGTTCCATGTGGAGTCAAATTCTTGTGATGTTTATAGAAGGGCATGAGGGTGATTTATAGGCACAAAGATTTTGTTATTTCCAGGAGCTCAAGCTTGTTGTCCAAACTGTTCCGGAGATCGGGGAAGTGGTTGGCAGTGTGCATGTAGAGGAGGTGTTGCATGTTAATGCCCATGAAATGGATGAGAATGCAAAACCAATTCTGCAGTCGTTGTTTACGACGCTTATGTCAGCTAGCAGCAATGTGGTTTCACAAGCCCTAACCAAACTGATAAGCCGGCTTAATATAAAATGTGAGGTAAATTGAACTCTGCCCTTCGTCTTACTAGTGCATATCTATTGTACCGACTATCAACAGCTATAGAAGTGCTTTGTAGTTTGAATTATAATTCATTTTGGTTAGTTACATCAATTTCTGAGGACTTCATATCTTTTATTAATACAACAATAACAACAAACCCAGTAGAAATCCTGCATAGTGTGATTGATCTAGGGGGGGTGTGTAAACCCTACCCTGCTCGGCAATTAAAGGTTGTAACATATGATCACAACGGTAAAGGAAACCACAAATAGAGTGTGAATACATTAACAAACGAAAACACACGCAGAAACTACAAATGTAGGCACAAAAACACAGATGTGGCTCCTCAGAGATCACTCTCACCATCCCCTAAACATCACTGCCTTAGATCTTATGCATCCGCTTATGACCCCAGATACATCTCAGCATCCTCATCTATCATTTGCAAATCATTTTTTGTTGGTTTTTCCCAAATTATATTAATCCGAACCAAACAGGAACCGAACAAGGAAAAACTAAATCCAAACAAGGTTTCATACTGATATCTTATTCTAAACTGACTTTTACCCCGGAAGCCAGCCTTCTCAGTTATAGCTCTTAGCCTCTCACATGCTGTATTGCTGTCATATTACAGGCAAGGGAGCTCACTGACAAAGAGCAGCTAGTGTTGAGACTTGAAAAGCAATATCCAGGCGATGTTGGTGTTATAGCAGCATTCTTGTTTAACCATGTTAAACTCAGTCCTGGTGAAGCTTTGTATTTGGGTGCAAATGAGCCTCACGCCTATCTGTTTGGTGAATGCATTGAATGTATGGCAACCTCAGACAACGTTGTGCGTGCTGGCCTTACCCCAAAGAATCGTGACATCAAGACCCTTTGTTCAATGCTCACATACAATCAGGTATCAATTACTTTTCTCACTTAATTACTACATCAAAAGTTATTTAAAAGATCTCTGAAATGTCTGTGAAACTTGGAAAGCCTACTTCTCAAGCATTTTAATGCGTCATAGATCATGCTTTTGGCCACTTGGCTAAATACCCAGATTTGACCTTGAACTTTCAACAACAAAAAACCCCCCCTTGACCTCTAACTAACTATGAAGCAATTCAATAATTAGTCCAGATTCACTTAGGATGTTTGGTGTTTGGAAAGTTGGAGGCAATGATTAGGCCCGCTGCACAATATTTGCACAATTTCACTTTTCCCTATCAAAGTGAGCGAACTTTTATCATCAATCAAAAGAAAATTGTAATCTTGTTACTGATACAATTTTTATTGGATTGATGATCAAAGTTCGTTCATTTTGATTAAAAAAGAGTCAAACTAGAAGAACAATCTAGATGGAGGGAGTATTCCAAATCCCCAAAATGCAGTCCAAATCACATCAAATGTTTGAGTTCACAATGTGTTTCTTGTTTTTTTTTTGAAATCGTTTCTGGTTGTTTCTTGAAAGCAACAGATTAATAGTTTCCATCCACATCATTATGTATTCTATTAATATTAAATGCTTCTCTAGTGATACTATTTTATCCTTCCTCTGATCTGACCCCTTCTTCATGAAGGTATTCCCGGAAATCCTTAAAGGAGATGCTTTGGGTCCATATACAAAGAGATACAGCCCTCCCTTTGATGAGTTTGAAGTTGACCATTGTGCCCTTCCTCGACTAGCAACCACAGTCTTCCCTGCCGCTCCGGGCCCATCTATTTTTGTCATTATGACCGGAGACGGAATGATGAGCACAAGATCATCTAATGAGGCGGTCTCCGAAGGAGACGTGCTGTTCGTGCCTGCAAACACAATTGTCACCGTCTCCACCACTGCAACTGGTTTAAGTCTATTCAGAGCTGGAGTGAGATCATCTTATGAGTAGTGGTTTCGGTTTACTCCATCCGTTCACAATTAACAGATTATCATGACTTTTTGTGATACATTAAAATTTGAATGAATGTGAACATGATGCATGACAATGTTCATTTAACTTTTGATGTATCATAAATGTCAGATGTTCGGTTAAGTTTAAGGGTGAATGAAAGAGGGTAAGTTACTATAGTGTGTACATGTGAAGTCACAAGTGGGCGTTTCTTGTAGTATGCAGTGAGGAATAAGATGCATGCCCCACTTTTGTATATGGTGATAATGTGGTTTTATACATAGTAAGAACAATATCCCTGTTCCGTTCGAAATGTATAAAAAAAAATAGAGTTCTATTTTGGTCGTTTTGGAATTTGCCAAGTAAAATTTGCACTAAATAAGACTAAAACCAATGGATAATGATGGCGGACATTTATTTAAATAATGACTAATGGATATAATGATCAATGGTCCTACAATAAGAAATAAAAACATATAATCTAATTTTGAGAAAGTCATGTTTTTGTCCTATTTAGGTAAATTCTCCATTTGCCAAACCAAGAGCCTTTTGAACCATAACAATTAACAAGCCTAGGTTTCACCCATTATAACATACCGACAAGGTTCCAATCAAAAGTTATTGAATGACACTGGCTCCAATAAAAGTACCTACAATGATTTTTATCTTTTAACCCACCCGAACCATCCCGCCATCCTATTCAATTTCATCTCCATAGTTTTAACTATGAAGTCAAGTTTTTTATCTCGATGTCGACAAAATTTTAGTGATGAAACTAAAAGGGTTGAGGATGGTCAGGGTTAGAAGGTGTGAATCATCAATTTTGCAAATGAAATACTATATATATATATCCTAAAACCTAGTGACAACGTAGTGTCAACCGGCTTTTTAAACTTTTTCTTCCCACGTTTGGGATCTATACGCCATGAAGCTCTGAAAACCCCTCATTTACACTAATGACCTTGGACCCAACATGATTCCCAATAGGTCATGAGTTAGACTACCTACGAGGCTACCACTTCTAGAATTCATGAATCCTTTAGAAATGATGTTGTCCCATAACAAAGGCATGTGACAAAAACTTCCTCAGAGTGATTTAACAGCTGCAACTCAAATTACATCATTTTTTGTGTTTTCGAAATGCTCTATGAAGAAAGAAAACTCTTATGATACCTCAAAATGCTCTTTATTCCAAATGATATGCTCTCCAAGACAGTTAATGTTCTCTTTATATAAACACAATATATCTATCAAATGTTTGAACTTTACAACAAAAGCTTGTACATTATTTCGAGCATGCATCTTTCGCAACTCCTTCCAAAGAATTTAAACAAAACAAACCAAACCAAAGAATATAGAGACTAGGGACAAGATGTATGTAGTAGACCTTATTACCAGCCCCAGAAATACAGAGACTTCTATGTTCTAATCAAAGAAAATAAATTACTAGTATAATACAAAGTACTCCATATACAACAAAAGATGTGATGCCATTGCCTGCCCCAAATCCCATCTTTCTTGTCCCAAGAAAATAGCAAAAGTGCACAAAGAAAGTGAAAAGGAACAATTAACGTGCCTTAGTATGCTCGTCCAGCCAAGAAATCATGTCGTCAAAGACTTTTTGGATCATCTCATCTGGCTCACCCTCAAGCAGGCAATGGTACGACTCCTGGTAAAGGTTAAGCTTCTTGTCACTGCTGCTTGCCTTCTCATATAATGCTTCGCTTACTGATGGATCAGTCAATAAATCTTTCTTCCCGTGCAAGATTAATAATGGTAATGAGACCTGCAAATCAGACCCAGCTTCTTACGTATGGCAGAAATGGGGATTTGATGGTGTTTGAGAAACACGCATAGGGAAACTCAACTTTTGTAATAAGATTCAACCAGAAAGTTAATAATTTGGGTTGGCTTTGGATATATATGAGTTAAAAATCCTACTCAATCAGTTGAAAATTAAAAAAAATCCTACTCACGCAGTTGAAAATTAACAAAATCCCAAGTGATAATAATATTTCACTCATGAATATTACTCCTGTCACATAAAAAGAAATCCTACGTCTCTCAACTTGTACGTGGCCCGTTAAAAGGGTCATATTTCTCAATTCCTTCAGAAACTTGGATGTTTCAGTGCTATATGAGAGTTGTACCTTGTTAAAACTAAAAAGTGGAGTCTTTTCATGGGACACATTGTTGACTTGTAGTTAACGGTCAATGATGGAACCATACATAACAGAAAATGTTCACGCACCTTTTCTAGTGACTCCTCTATTTCTTTGGTAGTCTTCAATAATTCCAAGGCCGTTCTCAAACGTGGTTTATGCCTATACGCAATGATATTATAGGCTGCCTGCATTTTCAACAGATAAAATGAATCACTTAGTTAACTGCTCATTGTAAGTGTGTGTTTAACATGCATATGCAAGCATTGTGTGCCAACTAATAGACGTAAACCCTTGAAGCTCCCATGCAAAAAATACAATTTGTAGTGTGTATGTGTGCGGTGGGGGGGGGGGGGGGATGCAGTAATCTATGACACCTTTCCCTTGTTTCTGCAAGGATATGGATTCGAAGCCCAGACATCCAGGACCTAAGGAGACTGCACTAGTTAGCAGTGTCAGTCCCTCCCTTCCAAATTTTGGGCTAGCTGGGGAAGTGCTATTTGATTAAAACGGACAGAAAATAATTTTGTATAAACTCATTAAAGCCAAATAAGTAGGTCAAAAACTTAATCATTCATTCTGTTTATTATGCTGAAAAGTAGAATAACCCAGAACCAGTGAAGAAATGAAGCCTCTTAGCCTTAGGTACTCTTCTATACTGTGAAGGCATACCTGCTTCCGTTTATTTGCTTCTCTAAATGCCAAATCACCCAAATTATTTAGAGGAACGAGCTTCTGTTTAGGTAGAAATTTTGCCACGCCGATTAAAACTTGTGTTAACAGCCATGGTGGAACCAAGTCTTGGTCAATCTGTTAGAAGTTAGTAGTCATCAGCACATTCATTTGCAATAAAAGTTTAAAAAACAAAGAAATGAACAATACATGAGTTACAAGTAGGAAACACTGCCAATGCGTACTTTGCACATAGGCGCGGAAAGAATAGCCCCACTCCATGAATCTGGCTGTTTCAGGTGCACCTTCAGAGCTACAGCTCCACCCATAGATTCACCATAAAGGAAGCTTGGAAGACCATGTAGTTCTGGATTTTCTGTGAAAAGAATTTATTTAGATTTGTTCTATTCTAAAAACAACAAAAACCCAATATATTTCCAACTCTGAAGAGATTTTCTTCTAACACCACTCTATTCTAACTCTGAAGTGATTTGTTTACTTGCCTCTTAAACATATAATCAGATTCCATTTCCATTAGTCCACTATGAAAAACAAAAACTTCTGAATCAAAGAAATGATGAACTAAGTTTAAGACTTCGGTTATACCTTTAATTTTTGAGTAATGCTCAATGACGTCATCAACTAGTTTGTCAAAATCTGGTACATAGCCATGAAGACCTTCTGAAAGACCAAATCCAGGATAGTCCATGGCAAAAACTCCATATCCAGCATTAGCCAACTTCCGTGCAACACCTACATTGAAAAAATTTGCTTTCAACAACAAACATAGTAAAATCCCACAAAGTGGGGGTCACGGAGGATGGGTTGTGGGTGTATGCAGACCTTCTACCTGAAAATCAAATTAAGATAATATTTTTTAATACTTCTAATTCTTTTGAAATGTACATATATTGATTGAGCAATTGTATTCAATGAACCCTTGGTCCCTAAATAAAATCCCACTTTGACTCGGAACAAGGAGTCAAGGACTATGAAAATGAAACAACACATTATGACAAGGAAAAGGAACAATACTCCATCTGTCCCAAATACCCAGAATAATTTTGACTTCTGGAATTTAAGATGTGTTGAAAAGTGAAAAGCGTATGGAAAGAATTTGTTTAGAAGAAAAAGAAATGATGTGAGCGACATTCCTTTCCTACAAAGAAAATAAAGAAAGCGTGAAGTTTATTTTGAGACACGCGGAAAATAAAAGTGGGAAGTTTATTTTGGGACGGATGGAATAAATTATTAGAAAATACGGAGTATATGATAGTATACCTTCAAAGAAAAATGTGCAAGTATCTCCATAACCATGACAAAAGCATATCACTGCTTTGGGTGTCTCTGGAAGCCAACTTTTGCAAAAAATTTCTAGTCCTCTTGAATTAATCTCATAAGACTTCCATACAATAAGAAATGTCAGCTTTATGCATATGGATTAGAACTAATCAAACTATGCAAAATTTGATTTAAAAGGGAAGCTATAATGGGATCCTAAATAATGCTATGCAAATATAAGGAAAATGTAAAAGCTATGAAGTCCCAAACCAAAGGGATCAAGTTCATATCTGTACCTCTTCCATCTTTAAACCTTCAGAAGGAGTCTGCAGAAACAAAAGAAAAAATAACTGAGAATATTGAAAGGGTAGGTAGCATCATTTGGAATCAAATTTGCAATTCTAAAGCATCACAATGACTTAGTCTATAATGATCTGAAAACGTAGTAAGCAACATCAGTTTATAATGACCTAAGAAATAAGCTATTCTTGCACAAGCTTAAGGTTTAAGGAAATATTAATGAATATGACACTTAGGCCATGTTCTCTTCACCTGATCTGATTGGTTCTAATCTGATTGGAATAATTCTAATCTGATCTGATCTAAATGTAGTTATATTTAATGCTATTTCTAATCTGATTTGATCTAATTCTAATAAGAATAAGTAATGAGTAAAAAAACAAGTTGGAACCTCAATATTGAGTGTATCGATTATCAACTTCAAATAACCAATAACAAAGCCATAACTCAACCATATGTGAAAGTGACAGCACTATAACTACCTTAAGTACCAGATTGTTAAAATAATTTATCTACTTGTTTATCTACTTGTTTGTCTGGTATCAGCTAATTTGTGTAGATGTTACTACTTTGACTAAAATGGAAAAACTAGAGTTTTACCTTTGTTTAAGATATTTTATTTTTAATATAAATATTCTAGCTACACACACATTTAATTAAGTTAGATAAGTCCTCTAATTCAACCAGTTTTAGCTACTTCGGACAAGTAAAATTCAGCTTTGCAGCATAAGCTGTAAAAGCAGCACATCAACTATTAAATTCCCATTTAGTAGCAAATTTTTATTTGCATACCAACCATTTTTTTCCAGAAAAATTTACCTAATTGAGCATGTTGATTGAACTTGTTCATAAGTGAAACTGTAATGCAAAACGTATTTCAAGGGAAAATGTTGCTAAAGTGAATGGAATACTAAAATAACATTCCTGCCAACATTTTTAGATATTATTTCCTTTAAATTTTAGCAAATTCATCTACGTCAGCCAAAATTTAGTAAAATTCTAGTGCTAGATGTTTGGTCATTATGGTACCAAACAAGAAGACAACACAAGTGAAACTCTTCGTATAAAGGGAAGAAAATTATTGACTTGCTACACACACAAAGCTTCCTTAGTGCTATGCCATGCCGTAGTATAGCAGACGTCTCACACTAGAATAGGCTGAATAGTGTCACCCAAATTACCCTTACCAACGAGCTCTGAAACCCAAATGCATTGGATCTAGTGGCATAAAACTTCAATGTCATTTCTTTAAAAGATGAGTTAACATATTCACAAAGTTCTCATGGTCACAACATTTTTATGAATAATGAGATCCCAATTCATCATTATAGGTTTTTCCCACACAATCTTAGCTTGGACAAGTGTTATATTTGTGAAGAACAAAAATACCTCATTTTTAGGCCGACAATATTACGGTTTCGATTAAATATCAAACTAAATCAAAATGACTGGTTAAACTAATTTTACCTCCTACTTTCTATGAAGTTTTGGATAGTAAAAGCATCCATAAATCAAGTGGGTCTAATTGAAAAACACTCTACTCCATGTCTGTTTTTTAGAAGGATTAATTTGTGTACATCTTAATGGGACCCAAAGGAATTGAGATTATACTGGCTTCTTTGGGTTGTCAAATCAGCTAAAAAAATCAACCAGGTACGGGCTTACGGCATTAAAGATCTAATCTTTGAGAGAGAAACATAAACGCAGACATTCTAATCCAAAAATCACACGAAGAATAAGAGGAAATGAGACTCCATTAACGGCAATACCTTGAACAGAACATGGTCGACTGAGAGCTGAATCTGCTTAAAAGCTTCGCGAGCACGACGCCTGGCATCTACGAAGTCCATTTCCGCATCAACCAGCTTCTGCACCTCCTCGCTCACGCCCGGGAATCTGCCGTTCTTCCCCATAACGGTTCTGTAATCGCTTGCAGATGCCAACAATTTTCCTGCAGATTTTCAATTTTCCCTTTTCTTCTTTCTCTTTTCATATTTTGATCCGTAATATATACGGAGTATTTCTATGGTGGGATTGGGAAAGTCCGGATCGTTTTCAGCACCCATTGTTTGATTTGTTTAGTTGCCTGGGAAGGCGAGTTTCTAGAAACACGGAAAAATGCGAAGTAAAGGGAAGCGAAGGAATTTCATAGCAATTGCAGCCAACCACGTGTTTGTATTGACTTGGACTAGTAGTCTATTACTTACTCCCTCCATTCTTTGGTCATTTATCCCATTCAAATACTCCGTATTATTTTGTCCAAAAATTATCTTTTCGTTGTGTATTACGATGTTTGATTAAAGTTATTTTTAAATCATTTTATATAAAAAATGGTATGAAATTAAAAATTGCATATTCAAAAATTATATTAAAAGATCTACAAATCTAGAGGTGACACGATTATATTATTTTATCAAATAAACAACAAAAATAGGCCAACAAAGTAAAAAACGTTTGACCATATGAATAGTGATCGAGAAGATAATTTTTGGAGGGAAGAAGTATTTTAGTTCATTGTATATTATTATGTGTTAAATAGTGTTGATGGTGTAAATATAGCTAGGTGGGTCGACCGGATTTGACCTAGACACTTGACCCGTAATATAAAACACGCAACAAGAACACAAAGTATGACCTAGACCGGGTAAATCTCCTCAGTCCGAAATATATTTCTTACTCTGTCTCAAGAGTGTACTAGTTTTTAGTGAGAGAAAGAATGGATCCTCTCCTCTATCCAATATCATCATATTTATAGAGAAGGATTTGTGACCTTCCCCTGTTCATCCATGGACAAAATAGGAAGCTCGTGGGAAGGTCACTGTAGATAATGGAAGCACTGTACAATCATGGACTTGCTACTAATACAACCAAAAAGCACTGTTCAATCAAAGACTAAAATGGATATTCTCAATCCAATCAATCCTGCAAAATGACAAACATCCCTTTCACTGTGTGCCTCGTGATGGATGAGCGGCGGGGTGTCCCCTTGACCTCTGACGTGGTTCACCATGCCTGAGATACTGGACCAATGTTTGTCAAGTAAGATGACATGACCGGTCACCTTTTCTCAAGGATGACCGGTCATTTCTGGGTCTCAGTCCAGAACTTTGGTCTTCTTGAATTCATCGTAATATCGAGTGACATTTTTGCTATTGCCTGAACTGTGACCGGTCACTTTTTTAGTGGAAGTGACCGGTCAATTTTTGACCCGTCCCAATTGAAGAGTTAGCATCATTTGGTGATTGATAAAAATGACCGGTCATACTTTGACCTGTCCCTTTTGGTTATCCGGGTCGGGTATAAGGATATACCCATCAAGTGTTTATTTTCTTCGCCAAATCTGACTGGTTCTTATACGATTGTAATAAGTTCTTGTTTGATCTATTTTATTGTAGTTATATTTAAGTGTTTCTGACTTGATATGAGTTGATTCTAATGGTAATATATAATAAGCAAAAAAAAAATAAATTGAAAAGAACAAGTTTAAATCATACGGAGCCAGTAATCTCTACCCCATTATAAATTCTATCCGATCCATTTTTAGCCCCCGTTCTCAATTATATTTTACGGAGTAATATTTTAGTTTAGTTTTGTTCCGATTGTCCCAAAATGACCCCGACTCTGCTCTCGGTTGTAAGTTTATTTTTACAACTTTTAATAAAATGTTTTTTTATTTTATGCACTGTTAAAATTTAGTATGGATTAGGACCTGGATTAGGGTCCTGGCTAAATTAATGTAGTTCGGCTCGACTGCCTTATTGCCCAATCCAGTAATCCTACCTCATTCTAAATTCTATCAGATGATGCTCTGAGAGAAAGATGAAAGGTCACAAAAGGAATTGGTATGTCTCTCATGATTGAGTTTATCAGTAAATCAACCTTCCCAATGAAGGGTTAGTTTTCTCCGAGTGTCGTGTTTCTCGAGGAGTGGACGATGGGAGTAAGCTAATTTTCTAACTAGACAAAGGTTTGGACAGGTCTAGAAGTCTTCTCGATTTGATTTGAAAATAAAAATTAACTTAACTACGGGGTGCTTTTGAGAGAAGTAAAATAATTAGTACGGGTATGGGACTAGACTTCAGGTTAAGACATCATCTGAGTTAACTACTCTCGTGACATATTTAATCAATAATTGGAATAATAATATTTCTGTCACAAATATTTCATTAATGTATCCTCTCTTAAGGCAACATTAATGTATTCTAAAAATTTTGGCTTAATTAATTTCATATCCTCATAGAGAAGACAAAAACTAATTTCCAATTATTAATTAATTTTTCTCTCGACATAATTAATTAATTTAACAATAAAAATAATTCTATAACAATTATTCCAAATATTAAATAAACATACAAAGTATATTCCTAAATTTGGTGAGCACCCTAATCCGATTCCTAAGAGATACTCCGTACTAAATACTAACAGTGGATAAAATAAAAGAACATTTTATTCAAAGTTTTAAGAATAAACTTACAACCGAGAGCAGAGTCGGGTCACTTTGGGACAACTGGAACAAAACTAAACTAAAATATTAAAATATACTCCATATTTAAGAACGGGGCTAAAAATGGAGTTCTAGGCCTTAGAAGACCTGGGATTGGTTGGTTGGTAATGGAGGGGCGAAACCCTCCTTTTATAGGAGAAAATCGGTCCAGGCCTCCCGCAGGCGTTGGCCTGAGCCAAATTTTTGATTTTCCGTGATTGAATTTTTGATATGCTTTGGTCAGAGGTCCTGGAATCCGGCAGGCATGGGCATGAGGTCCAGGCGGGGGCCTGAGCTGCTTTTCAGCCCAAAACAACATTATTCATCATTTTCTTCAATTCTTTTTGCTTTAAGACCCAATTCAATCTCTTTATTGGGTTGTGATCTTTATCTCTAAATAATTTTCTTCAAGTTTGACCTTAATTCTCATGATGTTATGTGTTTTCTAACTTTCACCCTCTTTTGTATAACTTTTGACTCAACTTTTATTCTTTTTGCAATAAGACATAACTTTTGTGCAATGTTACAATTATAAAGAAAAACTTATAAAAATAATTGAGAAATTGTCATGATTGATCCAAAATTGGACAATAACACAATAAATACAGAGAAGATAAGTGCGTACAAAACAAACTTATCAGTCTCATACTCCCTCCGTCCCACAAAAAAGTTCCCATTTTGAATAGTATTTAGTCAAATATTTACACGCTTTGACTACAAATTGTGAGAAAGTTATATTGAATTATAAAATAAATTTAATATAATTGGATTCATCTTAGGATCTAGTTTTCATATCTCAAATTTTTTTAGCATTTCTTTATTTAGATTATATTTAATATGTGGTCAAAGCATGTAAATATTTGACTAATTAATGGTCAAAATAGGAACTTTTTTGTGAGACGGAGGGAGTACAATTCAACCTCTCAAAATTTAGTTTTCACTATGTATACCATTAGGCCTAATATAAGCATTGGCCTCAGCAAAAATGTTGTATACAAAAAAGGTTGTGTATAGAAAGGGAAAAAAAGAAACTCTCCACAAAAAAAAACATACAAAAATAAATCCGCGCAGGCTTGACTCAGAGCACGACCGGTCACTTGTTGGTCAAAGGCTTGAGACGGATTTGAACGCCGTGCTTAGGTTTGATACTAATGACAACCACGGGAGCGTGACGATAGCTCTCCGAGATCTGAAAACTGAACTTTGACATCAACATGGCCAACACAATCTTGGCTTCCATCAAAGCATAGGATTGGCCAATGCAGTTCCGGGGGCCGGCGGCAAAAGGGAGGAAAGAACTCCGGGCAGCCACGTGGGATGGCTTTGAGAGAAACCTGTTTGGGTTGAACTCATTTGCGTCTTTTCCCCATATTTCTTCACTGTGATGGAGGGCTAGTACCGGAATCCATATTGATAGACCCTTTGGAATGTGAAGGTCGCCGAGCTTGAAGTCTTCGAACGCCATCCGTGGCAGCAGTGTCACCGGCGGGTATAGCCGGAGTGATTCATTTATCACTGCGTTTAGCTGCAGTGTATCAATATGATTTATTAAATTTGGTTCATATGTTATGAAAGAACTAATTGAAACAAAAGAACTTGTGTTTGTACTAGGTGGATGTGATATTTGTTTGTGCAACAAGCCTTGAACGTGAATATTAATGTATGATTTTTTTTAAAAAAATAATTAAATGGTAGTGAGTTTATGTCCTCAAGACTCGGATACCATTTCAAAAAAAAAATCATACATTAAAAAACTTTTTTACACATACTTTTTCTTATTCTACCTTTCATATTATACTTTTCACTAATAATCTACTCATCATATCTTATTTTTATCCATCACATCAAGGACAAAATTGAAGGTCAACCACAAATATACATGACTTATTTCTTCTAAAAGTCAAAATACGAATTGTTTTATAAAACGGATGGAGTACTTCTTTTGCCTCAAACTAGCTTAGATTCATGTTCCAGATTATGATGATTGATTGAATTTATTTTAATTTAATGTATTAAATGGTGATATATTATTTTCAAATGAAAATTATGTACTCCTTTAAAATCTAAATCAAATATCCTACAAGTATAATACTAGAGATGACACATGAATATATTTTATTGAAAACGAAAATATACTCCCTCCGTTCCTTAAGTTATTCTCTTATTGATAATTTAAGGAAAAATATTTTTGCATTGACTTTTGAAAAATATCTTTGATGTAAAAGGTAAAAGTAAGATATGATAAATAGATTATTAGTAAAAAGATATGATGTACGGAGTAATATATAAGATAAGAATTAGTAGGGATAAAAGTGAGTTTTCAATAAAATAATGGAAGAAGTTTGTGGGATAAGAAAAAAATGAAAGTAGAAAAAGTCTAAGGAACGAAGGGAGTAGAAAAAATAAAGATGAGCTGTAAACGGATAAAATATATATAAACATCACTAATAGAAAAAATACAGTATATTTCTTCCGGTCTTAAAAATTTTTCTTGTTTGGACTTTTTTGTTAAAGAGTGATATTATTTGACCATAAATTATGAGAAAAGTATATCGAATGTGAATATAAATTCAATATAATTGAGTTCATCATCTTAGAATATTGTTTTGATGCATCAACTTTTTGTATCATTTATTTATTTAGATTATATTATATCCAATTTATGGTCAAAGAGTGTTACTATTTAACTAAAAATAATCAAAATAAGAAAGATTTTTAAGAATGGATGGAGTGTAAGAATTAGAAATATGAGAGATTTAGTTTGTAGGTAGGTAGGTAGGTACCAAGGTGAGCTTGGGGAGGTGATCAATGGAGGGAGGGCCGCCATTGCAGACCTGCATGGTTTCTTCTCGAACCCTCTCTTGCCATGAAGGGTTAGTAGCGAGGAGCATCACGGTCCAAGTGAGCAGAAGCGCCGTCGTCTCGTGGCCGGCGAAGAAGAAGGTCTTGCACTCGTCCATTATCAACGGCAAGTTCAGACGGAATATTCCCTTCTTGCTGTGGGGAATATTCCCCTCCATCTCCGTCAGTAACAGTCCCAGTAGGTCGTCGCCGTAGGTGCTGCTCCGCCCGATCTCGGCGCTCTCTCTCCGGCTTCTTATGATCTCCATTAGTAAACCCTCCACCTCACTTTTCAACGATTTTATCTCATTGTTGTATTTACTTGGATAGAACCTGTTTAACAGAATTTTACTCTAGTTAAAATGAAAAGAAATCATCTTAAATATGATTAAAATATAGAAAAAAATATTAAAATAAGAATTTCATATTTTTATTTTCGAAATAAGACTTTGCATTATAGCAATTCAATGTGATTGTAATGTAGCTCTGTACATGTGCACATTACCATACTTTTTGGTAATGTACATGACCATGTTTGGTAAAGTAAATGCATACTCAATCCCCGTCTTCGCCACCATTTGCCA